CTCAACCGCAAGGATCCGATCGCAGTGTGCACCGCTGGACCTCAACCAGATAGTTTGCCAGATAAAATCCACAAACACACAACAAACACACAATCACAAACACACGACCACAAACGCGCAACCACAAACACACAACCACAAACACAATCACAAACCCACAATCACAAACACACAACTACAAACACAACTACAAAGACACAATCACAAACACATAACCACAAACACAAAACCACAAACACACAACCACAACCACACAACCACAAACACACAATCACAAACACGCAACTACAAACACAATCACAAACACACAACTACAAACACAACTACAAAGACACAATCACAAACACACACAACCACAAACATACACACAACACACAACCACAAACACACACACACAAACACACAACCACAACCACACAACCACAAACACAACCACAAACACATCCACAAACACAACCACAAACACACAACCACAACCACAAGTACAAACACACAATCACAAAGACACAACCACAACCACAACTACAAACACATAATCACAAAGACACAACCACAACCAAAACTACAAACACATAATCACAACCACTACCACAAACACAACCACAAACACATCCACAAACACACAACCACAAACACAACTACAAACACACAATCACAAAGACACAACCACAACCACAACTACAAACACACAATCACAAAGACACAACCGCAACCACAACCACAACTACAAACACACAATCACAACCACTACCACAACCACTACCACAACCTCAAACACACAACCACAAACACACAACCACAAACACACAACCACAAACACAACCACAACCAGAACACAGCACACAACCACAGCACACAACCCGAGGACCCACAAGCAACATCGAGAACTACAATACTAACGACTATGGCAACATGCTCCTCACTATGGCATCAAGACAAATGATTGAAATGTCATGGTGGGGATCACTCGAAGTAAAGTAATTAAACAAATTATTTTATATTTTCAAACAACTCATGCCTTAATAATGGACGGTTAAATCCTTCTAATGTATAATATTTGTGTCCTAATTTTGTTGCAATGTTTTCTACTGTATATTCACCTTGTAAAAAATGACTTGTTCTCTCTTTCTCTGTAATTGCTTTCTTCCTCATTATTTTTACCTTGTCTCCCACCTCTAATGTTGGATACATCTTTTCTTTCCTTGCTTTCACTGATACATTCAATTTTGCTTTAAACTCGTTCTTCTCTTTCTTTGCTTCATTTGGTGTTAGTCCTGTTGCACTATGCACATCTTTATTATATAAGTCAGCCTTATTTCTAATATGTAGTCAGTCCATTGTATATCAATGGAAAACCGCACTCTCAGGGACACCCGTTCTGTTATTATAAGTGTGTGTGCGCGATTGATGTTCAACATGTCCCACAAACACCCATTACACAACTAAAGATATTCCTACTCCAGGACCTGCGCCTGACACGCCTCTTGCGTCTGCGTGAGCATGCTTGGCAGCTTGCAAAAGCAAGACCTCTACAACAGAAAGTCGATCTTTCGTAGCACCACTTGACAGTTAACTCCCGCGGCAAAGATCGACCACTGTACGCATGATGAGCCTTCTTCTTCATTTGGGGGGCGGGCTACCATATAAATGTAGTTATATATCACCAGCATTCTAAATTTGGAGCATCAAATCACACTCAATTTAGACCAATCTAGTTCTATTCCATACATGGAGTGTCTGGTACTCTCAACCCATTTTCCAGGTGATCTTTTCAACAAGGAAAGAAACCTCTCCGCCGAGCCAAAGTCTGGTCGCCTGTCCGGCATCGAGCCATACTCGTTCACGGCTGAGGGGTTGAGCTTGCAGCTGCCGCCCGTGTGGAAGGAGGACTGTGCAGCGAAGCGGAGGAAGCGGAGGAGCACGCGGCTTTGGCGCAAGGCGTGCGGCCTTTGTGTTCTCGTTGTGACTCTGGAGAGGTTCTTGAAGCTATCGATGGGTTTAGTTCCCAAGCACTCCATGTATTGCATATTGACCGAAATTCGCCTTTGGAACCACCCAAATGTATAATATTCCAGTGCCATGGAGTGTCTGGGGTTGGTTTTCAGGGTCAACGATAATGCTTTCTGGGAGCAACCCTGGGTGATGTTTGCATAATAAGTCTGAATGTTTCTAGCAAAAATAATTCTGAATGTTTCCAGCAAAAAAAGAAACGAACACCTTCCTGAATTCCAGCGCTATGTTCACAATGCTTCTGCAAATAGATCAGTGTCCCATGTGTTCCATGATGGACAAGTTCTAGCTACTGCACCTAGTGGTCCTCCGCCTCTCTCCCTCTCTCTCTCTCTCCCTAGCTGTCTCTTTGTTTTGTTCACCTTGTCCATGATATACAGTAAATACATTGTAACTGATGTTGTTCATATGTTGTATTCTGCTAATGCACTGATGTAGAAGGGCCCTATTTCCCCGGGTGCATGGGATATCTGGATATCCAGCTAATCTTGTCCGGGTCCGGCATGGAGAGGCTGAGTTCATGAAAGCGATCAGCTTTCAGAGTCGATCCAAACAACAAATGAGCTGGAAACCCTATGCCTTACCCGCAGCAAACTGTTCCTTACGCCAACCCTCCGTATCAGCAAGCTCTTAACCAACATGTAAAGAGAGGTTTACGCTATGGCTCAAATCGACCACACCTACAAATGATCCTGGTGGACCGTGAGTTGGACAGGAAGCGCGAAAGGCTATTTTCATCGACCACCCAATCCTTGAGGGTCCATGTGGTCACTCTTCCAGAATCTGCAGTGTGACAGGTCCTGCAAGTTCCAGAATCTGTGAAAACCACAGGTTGTGTTGCTCCCAAAAGAAAAGATCAAACAGAGAATCTGCAGTCACTGCACTCTGCAAACAGTTCCAACCAGACTGAGATCCCCCGTTTTTTCCGGTGTTGAACTGGAAAAACCGGGAAGTCGGCGCTCGCTTTCCTCCGTTGTTCGCTGGCACGCCAGCGAACCGCACGAACCGCGAACGTGTGTCAATTGGTGCCCACTCACGCGAACCGCGAACCGAGAACCAGAGGTTGAATAGCCCTGGATGGGCCCATCCATGCTCATCCCGTTTTCAGTTTGTCAGGAGTCTATGACCTGTCTCCCCCAAAAGCCGGGTAAGCTGGCTCAAGTGAAAGTTGTGGTTTGTGATGGGCGCGCTCTTGTGTAACCGTACAGTATTGGTTACCCTGGAGACATTGAGATACCACTCTAAGAGCAAAGGACATTTGGATTGATTTTGGAGTTAGGCTTGTATAACAACCATCAACAACCCAACTGGATCGAAAAACCGCTGGATCTTCCTTTGGACCTGAACCCAGACCTCCATCGGCGCCTTAGACACGTCCATGTTGACCTCAGAAAGGGCGGGTGGGGGGCTCAAATGAGGTGCCACGGTTATGCTTTCACGCACGGGAGGGACTTCCAACTCACCATCCTTCCAGGGTTCTATAAGGACGTTCTGAGTCAGACTTCGATTAAGTCTACACGTCTGGTATGGTCTTTTTGATCTTCATCCAAGCACTAGGCGGCCAGGACATGATCGTGCCATACTGTACCTCTGAATTGGGTGTGCCAGTGTGCCATGTTGATCATTCCACCTATATTAGCTCCGGAAAACACAAAGTCCTGTGGCTATGCCGGCTTGGAAAACAGTGTCCTTCAAACAAACCCAGCCTTTGGATCTTCAGTAATCACCCATGGCTCTTCCATACCACCAGTGATTCCCAGGTTATCAAGTTTAACACAAGCAGCAAACAGAAGCAAATCATCTCAATCTAAAAATGGTCCTTCGAGCCTGCAGGGTGAGTCCTTCCAATGAACATGTTCTGACCATTCCAAAATCCTCAAGAACAACATCTTCAAACAGTGTAACTTGTCTAATTACTTATTTGGGGAGAAGCATGGAGAAGACATGAGGAACGCCCTGAAGTGCACCTATTGCGCATCCTATTCTTCACATGCACCTATTGCGCATCGCGACTTCGTGATCTGGCGATGCTTCATGAGTTGTCAAATTCACATTAAAAAAAACAAAACATAATAACCGTGATAAACACCCTCGATCTCGATGGATTCTCCAGGTTTCAGCCATCAAAACGCCCCCCCTCTGCTGTGCTCTCTCTCCACCATCGTGCAGCCCAGAGGGCATATTCCAACATGTCCAGTTCACCACCATTGGGCCATTCTCCATGATCCGCCAGAGTGAACAATGCAGGCCAAACCTCACAACCACGGCACTGGCGCACGCGGGCGCGGGCGCAGGCACGCTTCCGCGGCAGGGTCCGGTGAGTGTAGCATGGTCTTCGGTCCTCCCAGCTGGTGCCTTGGGCCTCTGCACGGTGCACGGGGCTCCGTCGGCCACACTGCAAAGTGACCGGCCGCAGCGACGGATGCGGAAAAGACTGACGGAGTATGGGAGGCACTGGAAATTGCATGCAAACCCAAAACCGGCGCAGCCCACTCGATCTAAGCCAGGTGCTTAACACCTACCGTAAGAACCCCCTACCTAGTACTAGTAGTGTGTCCACACTGTTTGGGGAAAAGCAACGGATGGTAGCCGATTTCGGGGAAACTGTCCCGAGTTTGGGGACTCTTACATGGAATACAGGCAATATGTGTTGCTTGATCAAGAAGGACAGTTCCACAAACATATCATCGGTCAATCTACGAACGGATGGACACATGCTTCATCGAACCCTTTCCAAACAAATGCCGTCCTTCAAGAAAAACATCTTCACCAGCTCTCTTTCCAATGTTGATGCACTTGTCATTTCACCACTTATTGACAACATTGACCTTGCTCTCGGTGCTCGCTTTGCAATCCAAGGGGCGCCGCAGCCGTAAGGAACATGGGAGAACTTGAAGAGAGACAAAAAGTTCTTCCAGGACTGCTTCGTTTCCTCAAATCCGCAAAAAGGGGAACTCCCGCAAACTTTTGGGCTCAAAGACAGGGGAACTGGACATAGGAGGACCTGGCCAGAGTTTTGTCTTCCAAGGCCAACAATGATAACTGTCAGTTTGTTCTCCTGCGTTGTCACGTTCAAAAGAAACCAACGCGACACAAATTCTCACGCATGCCAAAATGCCAAATGAAGTTTTCTGCCCGTAAAAAGTTCCTCAAATGAATTGTTCCGAGTCCCCAACCTCACTCTTGGACTCTGAACCGTCTTAACCCATGCACAAAAATCGCAAACAATCTACCTTGGTGCCTGGACGTGAGGCCGATGTCGATGTCCCTGATTCGTTTCTCACTTCGATGGTCCAGAAAACCAAGTTGAAGATCAGTAAGCCATGGCCAAATTGGTGCTCTACAACACAGATTTCCCTCATACAGTCCTGACATGCATGAGACATCCAACGAATCACCCAGCTGGCCGCAGTCCCAGGAGGTTGGTGTTTGGTTTGTCGAAAGCAAAACGGGGGATTGGCATTGGACAGTTATACTAACTGACTGCAAACCGAACCCAAATCAACCTTGCAACAAAACGACGTGTCAGGGGATGCTGACCGGTCCTAGATTTTTGCGAGAAAACTAGGTGCTGAGCTGCAAGCCTTGCTTGAGTTCACACGTCAACAGCGAATATTGCCTACAAACAAAGTCAAAAGATTGCCAGCCCCACAACGGATTGAGGACTTCCGTGGTTGAACATTCTCAACATTGTTATTTATAGCTAATATACTACGTATTGTTGACTGGCACATGATGGCGCATAATGCTTGGTCAGCATTTGATTTCCCAAAACAGCACTGTTGCCCATCCTCAACAAAAGACTCGTAGATCTCATCGATTGCAAAGTTCAAAACCACCAAAAGAGTCGTCCCAAGAAACTCGTTGGTCAAACCGTACATTGGTGCTATGAGATGTATGATGCAAGTCAGCAATGGTTCTTACTAGGAGCTCATGATGAAGGGTTGTAAAAATCTTGAACTGCTCGTATATACTGTATGTATACAAAGTTTAGAAAACAGTCATTCATAGTCATTCTAGTCTTGCAATGTACACACATGTTGAACTCCGGTCAAAACTGCAGGTCTTCCTGGGATGTTTCCAAACAGTCCAGTTCTTCGGCTGCTACTTCTATTGACATCTATCTATTGACTACAAGTTGGCCAATATGATGACCAGTGGCCAGTACGATTACCTATCCCAAACATTCGGGACTGGCATGCTTTAACTATCAGGCGTCAACTGATCGGGTTCTTGGAATTCAGGAACCTGGAAACAATGTTACTGTATTCCCCATGCTTTGAGGTTCCCCAGGAAATCCCAGGAATCTTGGAATCAAGAACTCTTCCCCGGAAGTGGCTTTAACATGCTTTAACAACCATCACCTGATCCGCACAACCAGGGGGCTTCATCTGTCAGTCCCGTAGTAGCGTCATCCATGGGCTCTGCCAGTAACGTCCGACGGAACCACCACGGCCGTTCGTTGGGAACCGATCGCCGAGCGGCCATGCGGGCGGTCATCCGCTTGTATTTATACCTCGGCCGTGGCGTGTCGCTCGCAGCCTCGCGTCACTACTCGAGGTAGGTTTCTCGCCGCGACTGGAGGGCTGGGAATACGGCATGGGACTACATGTCGCTGCGACTGTCGCATAAAACGAGTGGTGAGGAGCTCGCCGGAGACCGAGGAGTACGATCAAACTAGATCAAACAACTGCGTGGGTTCCACACCTGTTTGGATGATGGTGCTAGAAACAATGGCCATTTCACGTGGTATGACCTGTGGTCTATGTTGTTCTACCAAATCGACGACCCGAGAAGTTCTCTCTCTCCCTGAATTCTCCATGGCCTACTTTGACTCCGGTATATCGCTGAAAATGGTGAGTGACCTGTGCCGCAACATAGCACATGGTTGGACAACTTCTATACCACACGCTCCATGTCTTAATCGCTCCAAATTGTTGCTGGGTGGTCCCAACGTCGAAACTGCAAGGACTAAATCGCTAAGACACTGAGGACTCCGTCGCCCCGCGCGGATGATGGCATAGTTGTCTCGGCGCTCAGTTGAGGAGAAGAACGGCTGTGATTTTCAGTGTGTGCCAAAGTCTAGAAATTGTGGAGTTCCAGAAAATCCTGGTTTAGCGGCTTAGTACAAACATCAAACAACACACCCACAATGGCAAGGCATCTGACCATATCTGACCTAGGTATTAAATTACACCTGGAAGCGTCTCACAACTACAACCCGCCACGAGCAATGTTCTACCTTAACATACCTTAACCACATCTTAGACAACAATTGAGCTCTCACTCCTGGAATGAACATGTATATGAACTACCCAATTCCTCCGGCTGTTGGGGTTCAATTTACAACCAGTACCTGGTGAAACTTCTTGGCGGCAAGTAACAAATAGTTTTCCCCTGAGCTTGAGACGGCTACGCAAACCTATGAAATTGGCTTTAGGACGAGTAGCCAACTCAGCTTTGACCCACGCATTCAAAAAACGAGAGGTGCTGTGCCCCCCTTTAGCCACGTGGCCAAATGAATGGTACAAGAATCCGAAGATGGACTCTGGCATAAGACAATTTCTATTCGTGGGGTTCTTAGGATCGCTGCCACTGATGTTTTGTGCGCTTTCACAAACTCGATGGATGAAAAAAAAATGTGTAAGTATAATACACTTCATTGGAAGAACTGCTTTCGCTTTCCACTTTTGTAACCCCTAAGTTGCCCCCATTCACAAACGAACCTGCCCGGATTATTGACATACAAGCTGAAGTCGCCTTGTCGTTCGATGCAAAGAATATCAAGCAGAGAATGCAAATTGCACTGACACCTCTCATATATGTCAGAGGAACACCAGTTAATTGACCTCTCTCCTCACGCCGAACAACGATCAGTTCCAAGCAACGAGCTACACCACTGGGTCTCCCCAGTCGCAGCGACTGAAAACAGCCACCCGATCCCTTCGCAAGGTAGCTCCAGCCTTGCTCCTTCCATCTCCTTCAGTGACCCCCACGGTGAAGCGCTGGAGGTCCGGTCCGGTGCGACCGTCATCACGCCGGGGCGCTGGTCGCTTCGACGACACCCTCTTCTTCGGCCTTCGGTGGAAGGAGGTACTCCGCGGAGCCTGGCCCGAACGGACGGGAGGTGCGTCGAGTGAAGAGGGAGGGCCTCCCACGAGAGGTGAAGTGAGCTTATAGGACCCCAACCTCCGTTGGCCTCTGGAAGGGTAGAAGGAGAGCCCTAAGAAGGAAGATGAAGGAAGGCTTTGCGTCTAGCTTTGGTCTACAGTGGTCCTCAAATTGGTGCAGAAGGGCCTACAGTGCTCTGAGGACATCTGAGGAGTTCTTCAGGCGGTCGCCAAGAGTGTTGTCCCGGAACCAGCGGTCTAGGCCTTGAATATTGTAAAATGCACCCGTAGACAAACTCACCAACAGAAATTGGACAGCAAGGTATGACATGGCCGCAGTAGTAATGTGCATGGTCGTCATAGAGAAGCACAATGCAGAGGACGACATTCGCTGGATTTTGCTACATTGGTGATTTATCTTTGTGGGCAGGAAATATCCATCTATATAGTCTATATATATATAATGTTTGTTGGTGATTGCGATTGACAATCTCAAACCAGCAAGTGAAGGTTTCAACAATCAACAAATCTCAGAACCCCCCAACCACTAACTCGCTCACATAGTTCTACTGAATCTCCCACCCAAACCAGGCGACCAGTCCGGTCCACGCGTCGCGCGGCGCGGCGCGGCGCGGCGCCGTGGTTTGGATCGTCCCACAGGAACTTGAACTGGTCGAAGAAGCTGGTCCCCTGCAGGAGAGGACCACTCCGTCCGGTGCGGGCTGCTGTGCACGGCACAGATGCTCCGTCTCTGGTTCGGTTTTGTTCATGCCGGGTCAAAAGACTAGACAGCAGTGGGGCAGTGGTCACCTGAAAAACAATGGAATCACAAAAAACACTGAAACTTCAGACTGAATCGCCAGCCTGAAATTGTGGCAAACTGATTATTGCATACAACTTCGAAACAAATCCCTTGCAAACTTGAGGCGATGTGACTTTTGCCCCTAGCAAATTGACGGAACCAGTGCAAAGCTAGCATTAACCTCACCTTGCCAGCAACAGGAAGAACGTGAATTCTTGGTGGTACAACCCAAACAGCGCACAAGGAGGTTGTAGGATGTTCTAGGTCTGTTACTTTCCCCAACCACCCTAATTAAGTGGCTAACACTCAAAGTACCGTAGCAACACAGTGCTCCACCATGCTGCCAACCTGTTTGTCACCTTTCACATGCTGGTGAATAGAGTTACTTGAGAGCAAGGTATCAAAACCGCTGGAACGGCCCCAAAACGGTGCAACATCTCAATCCTCCCAAAACGACATCACCGAAGCAACCCATCAGTGTCCACTCCCACAAACTCCATCGACCATCAAAACGTCCGCGTCCGACCGTGCGCGCCTGGGCCTTCCACACCAGACTGGGCAAGGCGGGAAGGCTGGTCCCCTCAAAGCCATGATGAGATCCATCTGGGTGTTCTAAAAGGGAACTCTCGCAGGCACCCTCTGGGTTTGGAATATTAGCCAGGGCCAGGGGGGGTTCCCTACTAAAAATACATACCCATGTGGGGCATGTTTGACCCTCTATCCGGCCTGGAGGGAGGTTGGAATTTGATCAAAGCCACACATGGGATGTGGCCATGAACAAGCGCGAGCCTATTCAACAACACACCCACGTGGTTTTCATTATTTGAGTGGCCCCAGTCATCCAGAAACCTTGAATGAGGTGATCTCTTCAACCACCAAACCACCACCAGCTTCACTTGCTTAAGCAGCGAGGCGCCAACCATCGCCAATGAGGTCCGGATGAATCACATCAAAAATGTACACTTTCACAAACACATCACATAGCTTTGGGTCAAAACCAGGACTCTTGGGGGGGCCATGCCATCCACATCGATAGTTTCAGGGAGTGTATGCTTCATGAAGTCCTTATATAGACACGTATACACTCAGGGCATTAGAAACAGACTCCATCCCAGCCATTCCAGTCATCTGTGCGCTACCGTAAAAGCGGCAACTCTGATGGATGCTACCAGGAATAGAACTTTTAAGTTATTGCAGTCCCATGAGGACAAATACTCTGCTACTTGAATGACTCTCAAACAGTCAAGGGATCCCCAAAAACTAAGCCCCTACTCCCAAGATGTGTCATCCCCCGTTCCCATCCTGTCATCTCGAGGCAAACGCATGTGGCTATGTGAAGAGGTTCCACACAACACCACACAGTTGTCTGCCATGAACTGGAAAAAAGGTGTGGTTGATCAAGCTGCAAGAGCTGGACTGGCCAGTGGGTTTTCACGCAAACGCGCGTCATTGGTAGTTTCACCATCTTCAAGAAAACACCACATTTTTGTGGTTCTTTTGTTATCTTTCATCCTCATGAGATCATTTGGCAGATCATATTTGCTCTCCATAACATCACGTTTGATAAGTGCAACCGGTCCATGAGAATATCGAACTCAAATCACATCTATATAAGGTCATCTTTGTATAATGAACATTTCGTTTACTTAAGTCCAGGCCGCTTTACCTTTGACAAACATATTACCAAACAGATCAAAATTCAGGACCATTAAAGTAGACCGCCTCACTTCCAAGAGGTCGTTCCCCTAAAGTCACAAGAATCCCAATTCCAAAGGTTTCTAAAACAAATTGCACTCAGGCTCCACAATGATGTCCCTTAGCGGGATGATGCAGGTCCATATTAACCACCTATCTTGGGGTAATTTCTGCCATCTACTGACATTAAACCACATGAAACCGACCTGGTCTTGGCTGCGCAAGCTGACCCTCCCCTCCTATCTTTCCCATCCGTGCCTGTAGGAGCCGGTGCTTTCCGCTTTGCTCGTGGTCTCTGTGATCTCTGTGGTGCTTTCGCCTGGCCATATGAATCGGAGGCATTCAGCGTATCGAGCCGTATCCGCGGTTCAACCAGGTTCCAAAAAAATCGTACCTTGGATTTGCTGTTGCTGTCCAGGAACCCTGGG